TATATATATATATAATATTGCACTGCTTGTTTTCTTTTGTATGCAAATGAGGTTAGCAAAGAGGTTAAGTAAGATGCATATTTTGTAATCGATCTTCTGAACATTGTATTCAATATGGCATGTCTTATGTGTCTAGTGTACGTGACATTTTCCACCAACATCAAAGGAAAATTGATTATGAAAAGGAGGGAAATTCTTTTGACTATTCGACCATACCTATGTTTGAGAATGCCTGTGTTGGATACAGTTTACATAGTAATGAGGTTTTGAGGATCAGCGTCTCGCTAATAGGATCAATATTAGTCCCCTCACCCTGTTTCAGCCCCCTCCATTTCCCTACATAATGTCAATATTATAGCCATAATGCATAGAGGAATATTCAGAGGATTAGAGGACGCCACATGGAAATTCCCCTAACATTTACAAACAAGGTGAACATGCAGCAGCATATTATTAGTGAAATCTTTCTATTATAATCTTGATCACTGAGATCCTGCTGCATTACCAATAGGCTCCTGGTTTCAGAACACTTTACTGACATTTCTTTGAATCTGAAAAGTTGTCCTTGTAACAGCTGAAATTTTCCTTTTGTTGTTTATTAGAACACTCACTACTTAATCTAGGGCAGAGATGGCAAAGACTTCACATTTTTTCCTACTAGATTTGAATAAAACATTTTACCTCTTCAATAATTCTTTAATATAAGCGTTAAGCAATGCTTGTACTGAGAATGCATGGGGACATTGTTACACTTCAAACTTGACAGCCAAAACTGAAATACATCAAACTTACCATTTATGTATTTATTTTGCTTTGATTATATTTGTATTCTTCAGAGACATTTGAGTGATTCTTCTAATTTTCAAATGTGTCCATTATATTAGTATAAATTGATCATTCATTTAAAAATAGATTGTCTGAATATTTACTATAGAGCATTTTTATACAGAAGCTCTGTGAAAAGTAAAGGGAGAGTTTGACAAGGATCTGTGAGCTGATATTCAGTTGTCAGGCTTCTTTTAAGAAATTCTTAAAAATGCATATGAAATTCAAATGTGTAAATGTTTAAATAAGATTTTTTGCATATACAGACACACGTGTGTAAAAAGAAGTGCACAAAAAAGTTAAAAGGTTGCAATACAAATCTGAAAAAATGCAGAAAACTAAAGTTCCCGCATATTGCAACTTAGTCTATTTACAGATCTTCTACCAGATATGTGAAGAAATATATACAGCCTTCTGTGGCCTCAGGGGAGCTGTGATAAATTTGATAAATCGCCTGATAAATTTAAGGCAGTGACAGTTGGGACTCCAGACTAAGCCTGAAAATGACCAAATCTTTGATTACTAGACCACTGTGGCCCACTTCTCATTTTACTTGAGTCTCCAGGGGTTTGCCAGTTGCTGGTTCCAAAAGTCATGCATCCATTTTTCATAAAAACCTCAAGTCAAGGTTTGCTACAAATAACAGGTTTTGTCTTTATTCGTATTACTACTTTAAGCACAAAGAAATGTTTAATCACCAGAATGGTCACTTTTAGTCACAACTGCGGCGCTGTCTTGTTTAAACTCTAAAATATTTTGTCCTTTTCTTTGGAAGGACAAAATTAAACATTGACCTAACAAATATTTCATGTGCATTTTAGGAGCTATATGAAAATGTTAATTACATTCTTTGTTGATCAAATCGTGCATTAAATGAACATGCATTGTGTATACCATTGTGCACACTCAAAGTCAGATTAGTTTATAGAGTTTGGCTAATAGCATTGATAGCTGCAGTAGCCTTGCTTTTTTTTTTTCAATGCTAGCACCCAAATCCAGACGCAGAATATGGTACACCTAGCTTTTGTAATGTAATTATACTCCAGTTTATCCTGACAAAGCGTAACATACGGCAACTTTTTTTCTTGTTGTATTAAAGTATTGCAGAACAGCACATTTAAAACAACTGTCATCTGTTTACAACTTTCTTGCACAAAGTAAGATAGAGAGATGGAGGCTCAACCATCAGCCCTGCTGACTGCCATTGTAGAATTAAAATTGTACACTTAATTAACTAGTATTTCTGGCACTGACTGGCAAGGATAGCAACATTTAAACCTTGAGTCAACCAGTTGCACACATCCCTAGTCAAAATTTTTTGTTCTATGCTTATTTTTCCTGCTAGCCAAAACGAATAACCTATTTCACATCATAAAGAACTGTAGATTAATCTTGCTAACTAAGCTTGCTATTCATGGGTATCATTAGCTGATTCTCAACCTTTCCTTCACAAAAAAAAACAAAAAACACAAAAAACGATGGCCACAATACTTCTTGGGTCCAAGACAGTAGCCAACAATCTAATGTTTGACAGCATGGTGGGGGTACGTCTGTCTTCTATAAACAGCCTATGACTCAAGGCTATATAAGCGCCATTACCAAAACAAGATTGTTTTTTCTTGTTTCTATTTTGATTCTCTCTCAAAGCATCCATCACAACTCTGACATTATTTATAAGAGTTCAATGCCAAATTAGTGGCGCACCTTAAAAATGCACTCATCCCAATCCAATTAAACTACATAAAAATGAAATATCTACTGACTGATACATAAATCAGCATGTTTTAACACGCAATTAGAATTTATCCCTGCACACAAACAGATATATTATAATATAACAGTATATTGGCATAGAAGTAAAATTATTCAATTAATCGCAGACAATATGCTTTCACAAAATATTTTATACACATTCACTGACTTTAATTTCTCATGCATTTCTAAGCAAATTTAATAAACAACAACAGGCTATCTGGGCATAATTTCATAAGCCCAGTATGTTTAAAACCCTCCACTGATCCAATATCTAATAGAGAGCTTATGGTGAACCTCTGTCGGGGTTGGTATTATCTCAATAAATCCTATTTCCAAATTGAAAGTAATACTCCTCAAACATTTAGCCAGCATCAGTTTTTTTTTTAACTCTACACCTTTTCAGCTTAACATTTAAATACATATCATCAAAAGCAATCAAATATAACTGCTGTGAATAGAACATGTGAATAGCTCAGAGGAGTATCAGGTAGAAGCTGCATGCTGTTACGCGAGATACAGTTCATTTCTTTGTTCTCTGTCATACAGCTCGTATCTGTGTAATATCTGTTGTTCTGTTTAATCCCAGCTTGTTAATGAAATGCCTGAAGCGCATTTATGAGGGGCCATTCTTTCTTTCATCATTCCTTTCCACTCCACTAGTACCACATCACACACTACCTCACCTGTTTTTGGATTAATAGAGAAGAAATTCTGCGGGTTGCCGGCAGTAATACGATAACTCAGACGACTGGGTATAGCAGTGAGATCGGGGTCTTGCGCCTGAATACGAATGACTGACACATCCTTTGGAGAGTTTTCCATGATAGTCGGGTGGTAGATAGGATCTGAGGTGAGGGGAGCATTATCATTGACATCTTCTACCTGAGCAGAGACAAAGAAGAAAAGAAGACGTGAAACAACAAAGCAAAAAGAGGAGAAAAAGAGGAGAAAAAGGCAATAAATATTCATCATTTGAGTTGGATCTTGGAATGGCAACAAATACATGGCTAGTAGCCCTCTGAATTTGCACGCACTGTAATATTGTTCTGTTGTGATTTTAGTATCTTTGTTAATCAGTCTGGGTCTGGGTTGATATGTTATCAATCACAAAATGGAAATATATTTGCCAGAAAATGTCAAAGATGTCACACTCCAAATTAATTTCCCTTCTAACAGCATAGATCTAGAATATTTATGGCAAGCAGTGGGTTGATTGAGCATTTGCTGGAAGGCACAGAGAGCCAAGACAGTTCAGCCGGTGAACAGAAGCACCTGTGCCTGATTAATCTCCCCATTTTTCCATGTGATGAATAGGCCGGGAGTAAAGCACCCACTCACATAACCACACGTGGATATCCTGAAGCCAGAAAAGGCTGCTTGTCTTTTTTTCCCTTTTATACACAGCTGAACTCTTCCCCAAAGGGGGAGCAGTGATGTAGCAACTATGTGTGTATTTGAGTGTTTAGACGGTGGAAAAACTTAAGGGCAAATAAATTAGAAAAAACTTGAAGCAGAGAATTCCCGTACAGTGTATCTCTTGCTTACAGACTGAGTGCTGAGTACAGAAATCAAGAGAGTAACACACTCGTTTGGCATCATACTGTTTGGATGTAATGCTTTACAAGAATTTTATAGTATAAACATCAAAATTACCCTGGAGGGTAACGTTGACTGGCTGTAAACTTTTATCAGTGACTGCCATTGAAAAATAAGCTACTTTTACAGTTAAAAAAGCTGAAAAGTTTATAACCTGACATAATTTTAATGTAGTTAACGAGAAGTTACGCATAAAAAGTGCATAACTGTACCCTGCATAACTAAATATGATTTTTCCATGTACAATAAATACACAGATAAACTTGAAATGACCTAAAACTGGTATACTTTCAATTAAAATGCGATTGGATATGCTGGAAGTGAAATTAAGGGAGTAACACACTGGCAAACCATATTTTGAATATAAAACAATCTTACCCTGTAGACTTCTTGTCTACAGTACAGAAGCTCAGTAATGGCTAAGACTGCTGTACCAGTCATCTAATGGCACTTGGCATACAAAGATCACTTGAACTTTGTTTTTTTGTTTTGTATCTACACTCACTGGCCCTTTGTACATCTATTCAGCTGCTCATTAATGAAAATATCCAATCAGCCATGGCATAAACATGGCAGCAATTCAATGCATTAAGGCATGTAGACAAGGTCAAAATGATATGCTGACAGGAAGGCAACAGTAACTCAAATAACCACTCCATACAGCAAAGAAGGATACAAGAACATCTCTGAATGCACAACAGGTTGAACGCCGAAGCAGATGGACTACAGCAGCAGAATACCACACTGGGGCCCTTCCAGCCATGTAAGAAACAGAAACTGAGGCTACAGTCCGTATGGCCTCACCAGGGTCAGAATTTGGCTTAAAAAACATGAAAGCATACGCCCCTGCTTTGTATCAACAGCTTAGACTGCTGGTGTCACGGTTTGGAGATATTTCCTTTGTATATCTTGGGCCACAAACAGAGCGTAGTTTAATCACCACATAGTTTAACCACCACTGCCTTTCTGAGTATTGATGATGACTGATGATGATCCCTTTATGATCACAGTGATCACATCTTCTGCCATGTCACAAAGCTCAAATCATCTCATACTGGTTTCTTGGACATGACATGAGTTTACTGTACTCAAATGCCCTGCACAGTCACCAGCTCTCAGTCCAATAGAGCATTGTTGATTCTGTCTCCAAGAAATAAGGCAGTTCTGACGACAAAAAGACATCCAAACTGCTACCAGCAGCATGTACCAGGTGTATTTAGTAATAGCGCACTTTGGGGACATCCATTTAAGGCTTAAAATTACAAGGGAAAATTATCTGCTTGTTATGTTCAATGCTATAAAAGTCTGTGGGTAAATGTATTTAACATAATGATTCAATAGGCAGTGGATTCTATACCTGGATGAAGACTTCAACAGAAGCTGAGAGAGGTGGAACCCCCCTGTCCATGGCACAGACAGTCAGCCAGTAGGAGTCTTTGGTCTCACAGTCCAGGATACCAGAAGTGTAAATCACCCCTGTTGAAGCAGAGAGAAAGATTAATGCAGTTTTTACCTGGCTTTGAATACTTATCT